ATTTCAAAACCATAGACATGAAAATTTGGTGTATAGGCTTGGCAACACTGTAGTGTATCGATTCTTCGATGAATCGAAACAATGGCCCCCTCCCCCGGATCAGTCACCCTCGCGCACAACAGTGGTGCCCGCGCGCGATTCACATACGCCCCCCCGCCAGAATGTCTCCCCCCGCGAATCAGTCACCCGCCCGCGACTGCAGCGCTCCCCCGCGCAAGGGTTACGGAAATCATTCCATACACGCCTACGTTAATCTCCTTCCTTCATGATATGGTGACATATGATACATGATATTGCATCGATTTTTCACGAGGAAGCCGAATCTGAGCTTGGATTTCGGATATTATGCGTTTTAAGTCAAATTTTCTTTTATCTATTTTAAATCACTCAGGAAAATTTGCGGAAACTCATTAGAATAACAGTGCGTAATCTTTTAAAAACATTGATCAAAAATAAAACATTTACGGTATTTGAATCCATTAATCTCCGAGATAAAATGAACACGGTTGTTCTACGACTTTTTACGTATGTTGTTTTCTTCCGCATTGGTTGTCGGCAGCGTAGCGGCCAAAGGCCCCTGGTACTGATAATAGTTTTCAAAATCAATTTTTTTTTCTACATTCAAAATTCCAAGGAAATGGCAGAAACTTATCAATTGTTACTAATGTTTCAACAATGTTTCTTGTCAATTGTATGCTGTCGTTAAGCTCAACATCCCAGGTTTACCAGTAGGCTAGACATGCACTATATTTAACACCATGTCAAGGCTTCAGTACTTTAGAGGGGTAATTTTTTTATTTTCTATTCTACATAATCTCACTCGTTCAAGTAAGTAGCTTGGGCTTATTTGTCCAATGCTAGAGGCACTTATTAGAGGCACGATCATAAAAATAACCCTAGTTTGAAAATTTTGAATTGATTCTCGACACGAAAAGAAAAAAAGAAAAAATAGATAAATAAAATGCAGTTATAAATAACAACGAAGAGATATTTAATGAAGTATAAAAATTAAAATGAAGTGACTGAATTAAAGTAAAAAAAAAAATAGAAAATTGCAAGAAATAAAATAAAGTAAGTAACGGTAAAACACAGGGAAGAAATAAAGAATAAATAATCAAAGAAAAATAATATTAGGTAAATAAAAAATAATAAAGTAAAACATTAAAATTCAGTAAATAAACAAAGGAAAAAAATTGAAATAAAGTAAATAAATAAAAAAGAAATAATCAAAGAAAAATTATATTACGTAAAGAAAAAAAATAAAGTCAAAAAATTTAAAATGAAGTAACGAAATAAATTATAAAGTAAAAAACTGAAATAACGTTGAAAAATAAAATGAAATACAAAAATTAGAAAAATGAATGAACCAATCAGAAGAATGTAGATTGAATATCCTGGTTTTCCGTTCAAATCGAAGCTATGTAGGTACAGGTTTTTCGGTCAAGATTCTCATCATACTGTTTGGCTCAATCGTTAGGGCCTTCGGCTAGGGTTAGATAGGTCCCAGGTTCAATCTCCGCGGAAGGCAAAAAATTGGATAGGTCGGATACAACTACAGCACCTCACAATAAGCACTGTAATCTCATTTTACTCGATTTCGAAATTTATTTACGCGATTAACCCTTTTCCACCATCCCCTAGCTGCGAATCTCGACATTGCACACCTTTGTATTCAATTTTTTTTAGCTGTACGTTTCACAAGAGAATACTCCTCTTTATGGCTAAAAACACAAAATATTAGGTTCTCCTTGCTTTCATGATTGATACACTAAACATCCGGATGGGTCAGTTTACCATCTTTGAAGGTCTATCTCAGCAAGGTTGTGCGGGACGTCTATGGAGGACGGCGCGCCCGCCCAGCAGTGTTGGTGCGAATTACCATCTTTCTTGTCAACGCCTACCTGATCGCGGTTTGAGGTTTCTAACGATCATACATTTGTGCTCGTAGCAAAATTGTTCTCAGGGGTCGAATCTGGGAATCCAAGATAGTAAATGTCACCTACTATCTGGCTATAAGCACCAAAGATTTTTTTCCGTGGCGACACTGCGTATTTACGATCAATTTAAAAAAAAAAAAAAAAAAAAAAAAAAAAAAAAAAAAAAAAAAAAACTTTTGGAAAGCACCGGACTAGCCAAAGACTACAATACTACTTGGGTAGCCAGTGCCAGGGAAAGAGGAGAACAAATGATGAATGAAGCATTTTTGGCATGCCCTTGAAGCTCCTAAAATCCACGAACCTGTGCTGTGTAATTTTTTTTCGCCACGGTGAAAATGCCGATAAAAACACCGTCCCGTGACAGATTGCGAACAGCTCAAATAAGTACATTGCTTGTATTTTTTCAACACTTTTGGAGTGTTACGTTACACAGACTCCCGACAAATTTACTTATTTAAACTTGGAAGGTATGGAAGGCAAATCTTCAGAGAGCCAATACCTCGGAAGATAGAGATCGCCATCAGCGAACAAAGTGTTATTTTTGACGGTTGGAAATTTCTAATAGGTAGGGTATAAATAATCATGAATGAATAGGCGCACTAAATATTACTAAATTTTGCAGATTAAAAATAGAGTTTATTGATAGAATAAATATCACAGTGTCTCTTATGAAAAAATGTTTTACGCTATTCATACATGACAAATATAGTACAACGTTAATATTGCAGTAAAAAGTAAAGTTTCATTATTAACTACCATTTTAATCAATAAAAAATGATCAAATGCGGGTTTTCACCTATTTTTTAATTTACATAAAATGTGTGTAGCGTGGGGCTGAACACGTATATTTCCTGAACAAACTGTGAAACTTCAGAGACCTTCGCATATTAATCATTGCGTCAAAAGGATTTAATACCTTCAGCACTTTAAAAAAAATGCAAGTCCGTTACGTGTATTAGAGCTATGTTTCATCTTAAGAGCGGAGGAATTGCATTGAAGTCAATTTGGTATTTAATTCAACTGGATGAATCACACAGCATTCGTAAATAGAAGAGAACGAACTTTAATTCATTTGTCCAACGCGAGGTAGAATTTCGTTTTAAATGCGCCAAAAGCGTCAGGAGTGAAATCATTACATGGATTACATTTTGCAACAAGGAATCATACCATCTCTGGCTCTTCTATAAAAGCACCTTTCTGCATAGGGGAACTAATGGCATATATGTTGTTTCTAAAATGAGCCTTAGTGATTCCTTATTGCAAAATTTAATTCAAATGTCCCAGTTGGCAGTTTATTCGACACATCACCATAGTCCGAATATCTGCCACGGGATCATCTGAAGGAAAGCCCCATCGATCACATGATCATGCAACGTCTGGAGATCCCCCTTCAGCTGCCCATTATTATCGATGACGTCATTATACTTGAGGAACTTTGCCTTCTTGCTGTCCGGCACGAGACTCTTTTCCATCCTCAACTTAAGGATGATACACACCACGGGGAACGGGACTCTTCGATCATGCGGCATGGTTGCCAAGTGTACAGCGATTATTTTTTTCTTAGTTTCCGCCGGAAGTCCTGTCTGAGGGATGAGGCCGCCGAACTCCGGTTTAGTGACAAGGGCAGGGATGGCCAGTGGTTTCTGCGGAGCGGGGGTGGTGGTGGTGGTTCGCGGTTGTGCGGGTCGAACCGGTTCGGTTTTGACTTGGACCATGGAGGGCTTGCTCGAGGGATCTTTCCGCTGGCCCATGTCCGCCTTGTCGGGGAACATCATCTTCAGCCGGGTCGGGGTCACCGAGTTGGGCCCGTTGCAGTGCGGGGTCACGTTGTAGGCCCGCGCCAATTGCCGCTGCCTTTCCTGAGGAAAATTAAAGGAATTTGATACAATATCTGTTGAAGCGTGTATTTGTTTGAGAAGTCCCCAACGTTTCCAAACACAAATTGGACTACATCCTAGTAGCAGAACCACAGAAGGAAAAGATAAATATTATGTACGAAAGTTAATTTTTTCTATATAATGCATGCATAAAAAGTGTTAAAAGTGAACATTTTTATTTAACCATTATATAAAAAATGTTATAATTTTCGTGAGCTTTTCGGGAACATACTAAAAATTCTTCTAATTCGCGAAAAGCTCACGAAAATAATGACCTATTTTTTATATAATCGTTACATAAAAAGGTTCACTTTTAACACTTTCGTATGCATGCGTTATATAAAAAAATAAAAAATGTGTGTATAAAAAAAATTACCTCATCTAGCTTTTATCATTTTTCATATATTACGGTCAGGTCTGAACTTTGATTTTTTTTTTTTATAAAAGCGTTACACGTTTTTTATATGAAACGATCATTCAGATAACAGATATGTTTTTTTTATACCTTTTTTAGAAAAACGAAAATTTGTTCTGCTACAAGGACTAGGACATTTGCAACAAGGAATCGCTGATAAAAAGTATGGCGAGTTTTACCAGAAGTATGGTGAATTCTGATCTCTAATGATCTCTGGGAGGATAGGGGACAGTGGCGATTGGGCGTCGCAGAGCGCGAGGCGGTGCTATAAAAGCGGCTTAATGTATATATGGTGAATTCTGTCAATAATTTGCTTCATTCATGACGTAGTAATACTGTAGGGTCAAGAGCATTGAAGGAGTGCCAACGCCCTGACGGGTTGTGGGAGGACGAGTACTGTGGTGGTTACGCGTCGCAGAGCGCCAGAGCAGAGCGCTGTGAAAGTGACTCCTATGTATGTATACCGTAGAATAAAGTTCACAAGACATCTGGTACCATTCGCCATACTTTTAGTGAATGCGATTAGAGTGAGGGTCTTTGCGACCATTCTGTTGGGGCTTACCATACTCATATCACTATTGCTCAAACCATACTTTTTATCTCAGTGAACTACTATGTCCAGCTAATTATAAAAACTGCATCTACGACATTAGTTCCCTTTGCAGATAGGTGCTTTCATGGACAAGCCAAAAATTTTGCTTCCCAATTGCAAAATCAAGGCAAGTTATGCTGATGAAGTTTCCGGAAAACATTCACGATTCATCAACCCTGGTAAAAATTGGCAGTAGAATCTGTGTTCCAAAATACCATAGACCTACAGCCGGCTGTAAGATTTCCAATAGCTTCTATAGCCGGCTACACAATTTCTTATAGCCTTTTATAGCCGATGGCGATTAAGCAACAGCCAGGCGATAAAGTGTATGCTAAACGTTACTAATTATGGAGGACTTAGTGATATAGTGAGTTTTTGGAATACTGCTCTTTCTTTGTATCTTGATTTATTTTGCGAGGAAAGCTCCCTACTTTTGACGAATGCCTGTCATTACTAATATATTAGAGCGCCTTCAGTTTCGTATGATACTGTGCAGTACCTCTGGTGTGAAATAGTTGCTTCAAGCGCCGTGGCAGGCGGGCAGCCAGCGCGGAACACGCATTGGCGCCTACAAACCTAACAGGGATACTTCACGCGTTGCGCAATGCGTGAAGTATCCCTGTTAGGTTTGTAGGCGCCAGTGCGTCGCCGCTCCGCTTCGTGTTAGGCTCTGATATTTGATCTGGCGGAGTCAGCGTTATTCAACTCAGGATTTTGAAATGTTTGCACATCCTGTATGGATTATTCTCATTTTGATTGATGAAAAAAAATATGTATTAAAGGAAAATATAATGTGTGTTTTGTAAATATTAAGGTGGCTCCGTATCAAACTTAATGATTTCCAAAGCACACGAATTTCTACACAATTTCTTATAGCCTTTTGTAGCCAATGGCGATAAAGTGTAAAGCCCGGCGATAGAAACTATAGCCCGACTGTATACTTTTTTATAGCTTCGTATAGCCCGGCCGTATGATTTTCTCCGCATTCTACAGCCAGCTATATGTATGATTTTCTGTAGCCTTCTTTAGCCGGCTATAAGAATTCCTATGGTATTTTGACACGCAGCTCTTATCGCCAATATTTACCAGGGAAATAATAACTTAGCTCATGTTTACCTATCAACTATCTACAAAGTGTTCTTTGTGACAAAGCTCTCACAATCCAAAAATATGCTTCCAATTAGTGTACATTTCTAAATAAATTAAAAAAAATATATATTTCGCAGAACTCTTAAAGAGCACTTTTTGAAAAATTCCAAAGAAGAAGAAAATCTTAATTTGACCCGAATAACACTCTCCTGCAGTCTGGCGGTTCAACTAGGGATCACTCTGAATATAACGCCTCTGACACTCGGAGAAAATGGAGATGTTGCATGTGTGAAGAATTTGCGATTTGACCGTTGATTCTTATGTAAAATTTCGCGAGAAACACGATGGTGCCACTGGTTTTCCCTGAAATCATCTCCCTAGCCCAATAAAAGCTCTCAAAGTGAGGCCAAAATGGAGGGGATATCCCACCCTACCCTGAGAGTAATCCTCTACATCAAAACAAACTCTCCATACATAGATAGGGAGCAAATACCTTAGCAGGGTTGCCACTTTATTTGGGGACTCCAAAACTGAAAACACGGCAACCCTGCTAAGGTATTTGCTCCCTAGCTTTGCATGGAGAGTTTGGTTTTGATGTAGAGGTGGACTCTCAGGGTAGGGTGGGATATCCCCTCCATTTTGGCCTCACTTTGAGAGCTTTTTTGAGCTTGGGAGATGATTTCAGAGAAAACCAGTGGCACCATCGTGTTTCTCGCGAACTTTTACATAAGAATCGATGGTCAAATCGCAAATCCCTCACACATGCAACATCTCCATTACATACATCGACGCAAACCAGTAAAGATCTCACCTTCTCTGCAGGATCTACCGGCGCTGATGGCTGATTCGATTGGGCCGGAGCGTTTCCATCTTCGGGATTCTGACCGGGCTGATCTTCGGCACTTCCCTGATTACCTCTGGGTCTGCTCGGCGAGACGGGTTTATTCATATCATCAGCCTCCGAGGCACCCGACGTAGACACGAGGGTATTGAGGTCATTTTGGAATCCTTTCGGTGACCTTTTCATGCCTCTGGCCTTGTCAGCCAGGAGGTACAAAACCTCAATCGGCCTGAAATTGCACTCGCAGAGAAGCGAGTTGTTCCTCTGTCTGGCGTTTTCGTCGATGTCTGCAGTCAGCTCCGGAGGCCCCATCGCGGGTGCTGTGTAGGTGTTCAGTGGAGGGTGCTCGCCGTCGGGCAGAGAATTGGCCGGGGATTCGGATGGGTCGGTCGGGAGGTCATTCGTGTTGGAAGGGGCATCACCGGAGTTGGATGGACACTCTGGACACAAGCATTCCCACGGGGATGATTGACGCGCTCCTTGGAAACCGTCGAGGTTTATATACAATTGAGCTGTTGAACCTGCGAGAGGAAGTCATTGAAAGTCAGAATAAGTACACAGTACACGGCGCAGTCTACCCAAGTAGCATTTCTTAACGGAAAAATCGCTATATATTGCGATTTTATCGGCAATAAAATCGCCAGGATCATCAACATCTGAACGATCACTGAAAAAAAAACCTCGGTGTATTTACTAAGAAAAGGGTGAAATGACCAAGGATTCAGGGTTCTATTTGACCCCAGTTTTTTCTTGGTAAAATTACCATTTATGGAATTGGTAATTTTACCGAGAAATCTCGGTAAAATTTTGAACTTTCTCCGTAATTTTACTGGACCTTGGTAAAAAAGCCAGTATTTTTTATCGAATCTGGTAGAATTACCGAGATAAAATGGCAAAGTTACCGGGAATTGATTGCCAATAAAAGTGGTATTCTTACCTGAAAAAAACAGTAAAAATACCGGTTTTTAGGTAAGCTTACCAGTCTGTCTTGGTAAAATTACCAGTAATTGATAAAAAAAGGGAGATGGTAAAAGGTACCAACGGACCTTGTTAAAAACACCGAGGATTTTTTTTTCAGTGATTATTCTTCTTTTTCTTCTACTTTCTGACTAGGGCCGTGACCCTGTTTGTCTAGCCTCTAAATTATAAATATGACAAATAACATAAGATGGCGATGAGAGAGGGTTAATTCTCCGGGGATGAAAGGCAGCTCTGTGCCCATCTCTTTGGCGGTCGTCCGGGAGCGATTATCCTCGATCTTATCGCGAAAAAATCGCGCTTTTATCGCCTGACAATTTATCGCGATATTTTCGAAATAAAAATCGCGATAAATGGCGACTTTATCGATAAAAATTGATCACGATTTCATCGAACTAAAAGTTGCGATTTAATCGCCATATATCGCGATTTTTAATGCGATAAGAACCAGATATATTGCCACCGATATAATCGCGATAACCAATCGCTATTCATCGCAATCACTGCTACTTGGGTAACTGCGTTTAGCAGTGAGGAACCAAGCCACATCAGCTATTGCCAAATTTGATTATGAGCAATTTATATTTTTTACAAGAAAACACTTGTGCGGGCTTTTTTGAAAGTTAGAAGGAATTTGCTTCACACTGTGCAGAAAATTCACTGACATTTGCAAAGGAAAAATCCACACAGCCATTTCCGTGTAAAAAATTAAATTCCCTAATTAAATTTGGTAATAGCTATTGTGGCTTGGTTCCTTTCTGCCGAACGTGGTTCAGTTGGTTTTGCGATTATCGATGGATTTGTCTTATCAAACACATAGGGGATGCAGCGGTCTCATTATTGAAATTGATGGACGAAGCAATCCTGTTGGTGGAGGCAAATGGTTGCAAAGGATAAATGAATCAGTGAAAACGAAAACACACCAACTCGGAAAAATGAAAATAATTAAGACAAAAATAAAACTGCACAATAGGTGAAGAAGTTAGTTAAGAAAAAGATTTTTGCTGCCGAAAGACAAGTACTTATGGCCACTTCGAAGGTCCAAGTTGGAACAGACGCGCTAACTTCAATGACCTGTCTGTAAATTAATTGTCTTCAATGGAAATTGAGTATTTTCGACAGGGCCGGATATACCTACTTACCGCCCATGGGCCGCCTGTATTTTGCCGCCCTCTTCTCATTCGTTTTGAAACATCAATAAAAACCATCAAGTGAGCGTGACGGAGGGAAAGGGGTGCATAAGACGCGTTTATCTACTCGTGTTGGATACATTTTTTGCGAAAATCATGTAAACATTACCAGTAAAATTTCACGGAACTTTGCGCAAAAGTTAATTTTTGTAAACCTATCTTTGTGTGGACAAGGTTCTTCATTTTTAAGAAATAAACCAAAAAATTACGAAAGAACAAATGTGGTTTAATAATTTTAACTTCCGCCGCTGCGCCGCGGCGCTGATCGCGCTGTGTTTGGCGCAATGCGTGAGGTATTCTTGCAGTCTTGTAGGCGCTATGCGTTTCACGCCAACCGCTCCTGACCGCACTGTGTTCGGCGCAATGGGTGAAGTATTCATTCAGTCTTGTAGGCTCTAATATGTGTTACATGCCGACCGCGACCGCCGCGCCGAGGGCTTTTCCTTTTCATCTCAAGTCCTCGTCATCCTCCCTCTCTGCGCTGAGCTCCAAGCCAAATTGCGTGTTCAGTTTCTCTCTTAACTCGACTAATTAAAGATGTTGTCTCTTGTATCAAGGAGAACGACAAAATTAGAAATCACTATACTCTCAGGGAAGAGAGATTTCGTCCCCTTTTCTCATTGATAATTTTTTTTTTTTTTAATCCGCGGATTTTTTCTATACCCACATTTAAAAAAAATTGCAAACTTTGCCGCCCCCTAAATTTGCCGCCATGGGCAGCGGCCCATGTGGCCAACCTCTTAATCCGGCCCTGATTTTCGAGTTACCCAGTTGGTGTGTTTTCGTTCTCACTGATTATAATGAGGATAGTTGTACACTAATTAACGGCAACCAATGAGAGACCCTACGGTTACTCCATAGTTATTTCTTTATTTTTTAATATCCACCCGTTTTAACCAATAAAATCGCTCCATTTTCCATTGCCCTCTTTGTCAATAGGTTTGTCTTTAAACGTTAAAAATCAGTCCGCAGAAATGTCACGAAAGGAGGAAGGGATATATAAAGGTAGGGCATACTCTTATTTTTCGCTTTCAATTTCATGGACTTTGAAGAACTTATAATTTTCACGATAGAAGATGTTGTTGTAAATCAATGAGCAAGAATCAAAATATCTTTTTTCTTTTTCTTTCCTCCTTTTTAAGCATCTTAACTCTTAACTTAGCCGACCACCGTCACATGATTCCGAATAGTACAATTTTATAATTTTCTATACATGAAAGGCTCACCAATCGACCTTAGTTCAAAATTTTACGATATCACGATGTCTGAAAAAATCTATCACGATTTTACGATATCTGTTTAAAATAATTCGTCGTTGTTCAGACGAAAGAACATAGGTAACTAAGGTTATACAATTTTCTTTTGCAAATCGTACTTTTACTAGGGGACTGCGGGGGACGTCTGCGCGCATGGACATCTATCGCTGATTTTTCCTCTGACTACATGCAAAAAGCAGCCAGATTTTGAGCACAAACTGTCCCAATATATTCTCACGAAAATTTGACCGGTCAAAGTCAATTTTGCAACCCTGAAATGGAATTACGCTCTTTAATCTGTAAAAAAACGATTTATTTATGAAAATCTAAACCGATCAAATGTTATACATTTTGAACAGTCTTCTCGCATTGTGTCGGATGACAAAACAAAATGACTACTAAAAAATAGTTAATATACCTAGTTATTAAGTTGAATCTGCGCCAGCTAACTTATGATGCGCTCAAAAGCAACCATAAAAATACCTAGCACAATGTTGGTAACGCAAAAGGAGCAAATCTTAATACATACGTTTGTTCAGGATTTATTTTAGGGTCCACAAAAGTAATTGGACTGCATTTTTCAATTAGGAACCACAATTTCTGCCTCATCTGTAAAAACACTTACGTGTATAGGGAAACTAATGGTAACTACGTTATTTCTAAACTGAGCTATATATTGTAGTTTCTAATTGCTAAATGTGGTCCAATTTCAATTCAATAGAGGTCTCATTTTACTAAAGATACTCACGTGGGAGAACAGATGCGAGTGCTATCAGAGCAAGCACATGAGACAGACGAACTTGTAATACACGGGGATAAGGTATGTGACGATTTTGCATTCTGATTTCCGCCATTTCTTGACACCTGATTTTAATAATTTTGCGGTTATTTAAACCAAAATCATTAAAGAGGGCGCAGAATTGACGGTGGAATAGGTACCTAGAAAAAGAAACCGAGGCATTTCTAAAGTAATCACAGCATTTTGAGATTTCCGAAAGATTTAACGCACATCCATTTAATTCAATCACAATCTCTCAAAGGGTGATAAAATAGTTATATCTTTAAAAAATTCTTAAGGTCAAATTCATTATATTTTCAGATTTAAAAACGCGTATCAATAATTTTCGTGCGCGGCACACAATTTCATATGTGTACCCAATTGTTCAAAACATCCAGTTAACGACATAATATATTAAAAAAAAAAAAAAAAAAAAAAAAAAAAAAAAAAAAAAATCAGCTCAATGGTGTGTTTTAAAGAGTAGGTATAAAATTAAAGTGACTCGATTTTTAAGACAAGCATTTAATTGCTGCGCGTCTGAGTCATCATAATGTCACTATAGGTGCCTCAAATCAAAATTTAGAATACATGTCGGTAGCAACAAGTACATTGATGAATCAAAATCCTGCCTATAGTCCAGAGAGAGATATGTGAAAGTTGGATATTGAATTTTAAAATTTCAAGTTTTAATATAATCATGAAAAAACACGAGAAGTTCTCACCTGTGTTGGTAAGCTGCCGAGTGCTCACTGAGATGCAGTTCTGTCAATACTGGTTCAACACAGTTTTATCAAAAAGAGGAATAAGAATTGCGAGTATAGTGAGTGCTTAATTGCACTGCCCTCTGTTTTATATATTACGTTCCGGGGTCAATATCATAAGATAGCAAACAGTCATCATGTGGACAATGAAATCATCGAATTTTTCGTCGTGCCGAAGAATTTACAGTTGCAAGATTCTCAGATAAATGTTCTCATATTTTCATCATTCCGCAAGGAAATTTAGTGTAGAAATGGTTACAACTTTCCTTCAGACTAATGTATACTATTTTTTACCTAAAACTGAGCCTTTTAAATTTGCTGCAATTGAACATGCCACAATGTCAATTTTTGCTATATTTTTCTGAAGATACAGGAATTTAAATCAGTTTTGCGATCAAAATTTACTCTCAGGGGGTATGTGCAATTTTTAAAATTTATGAATCTTTTCTACACGACTCAACAAAAAATATTTGTTTACAAAATTTTTAAGTGTGGCAAAGACTCCACGGAATTGTTTTATCGCTTCGACTTACTGAACTTGTGGGAAATCACAAGAGATTTACTTTAGCTTTTGTCGGACATAGTTTCAAAAACATTTTAGTAGAATACTAAATAACTTGGGTAAACAATTTTGTTTTTTTAACAGAAATACAAGTAAAAATTTGCAGAAAAACTTTAGAGTCATATAAACATAAATGCATCAGTCGCATACTTGGCAACACTCGTATATAACTGTGCACAGACTTAAATTGATAAAGCTGTTCGTGAAATTTCATCAACATAAGACGTGTTACGGTGAAATTTTGCGCAATGTCTAGATGTGCAAATCGTGAATAACAATTTGTTTTGGGCATGCATCATCCTCGAATTCGATGTATAACAAATGTTTCATCGCAGGTCATAAAGGTTCGTCTAATCCTAAGATAAATTGATTGAACTCTACGTAGGTACTACAATGTAGTCCATTTGAGTCCATTTGTAGTCCATTTTGAAAATAAGGTCCCAACGCATTCGATGACTTGCTTGGTTATAGCTCCATAAACATTTGTAATTTATTTGTATTCCATTTCCTAAATTAATTTATAATTTTCCTCCTTTCAGTTATAGTTATTACTTAGCTCCGTTTCTTCAGAAGTTTTCTGAGATTAGACTCCTGCGGTTTGTTTTTGGCACGATAGGAATACAAGAATTTGATAATTTTCCATAAAAAGACTGAGAATAGTGTGAGCGCTATGGTAATGACTGCGATTACATCTAATAAAATATACTGGTAGAATGGTAAGTGAACTGATGCTGGTTTTAGGTAATGAGCTCCTTTGTGCCTGATGACGTATTCAACCCAGTAGACTGCCCGCTCGAGTGGTGTCTGAGGCTGGTTGTGTAAAATGCTGGATTGTTCCTTAACTCGCTTGTAGAAGCTAAAAAATACCGAAAAAATAAAATAGTAAAAAGCTGAAACCTTGTGAATACAGTCTTTCATGTTGACCCAGTGAGTCAGGATGCGTTTTCTTTCAGCTCGAATTCGCTATCCATCATTTTCATGGATATATTTAAACATCATTTTACTATTTAAGCAGTGATCTCTAAATATACATGCTCATTGATTTTTAGTTTCAAAAAAATTATCATCGCCTCACATAATTACCAATTTTTTTATTTTTTTATTTTTGTGTGATAATTTCATTTTCATACAATACACTTGCAACACTTCAGTTGGGCTACACCGAGGTAACCGAGGTCGCTGAGGTAACATCTGGGTTTACTTCACGACTTTTTTGTTTTGTTTTGTTTTTTTTTTTCAATGTAGATTGTTAGTGTAAGTGGCCTCAATGTAACAGAGCCTTAGCATGCTTCCCGAATTGATTGATTTGAAATCCGAGATGACAAAGTGAGGATTGCCTCATCTCGAATGATTTACATTGCATCATTTCAAATTGAAGGCGATTTATATACTTAATCGTTGGCCACTGATCACAAGCGTCACTTGTAGCGTAGGGACGCGTTTTTGGAAAAATCTAATTTCTCGGAGAGTAGGTAGGTGATAAAAAAAAACTGAATTTATTTTCGAATTTAGCACCATCTCGTGGTTAGGTATATGATTAGGAGATGAATTGCCCCTCCTCCCCGTACACCGAGGAGAACCTAAGGTTAAAATTACTATGTAGTGGTATTCCATATGAACTATGGATTGATAACAGTCATAACCATTAGTGGTGGTATTTTCACCACTAATTTGCTAATTTTACCCTTGGGTGTAAAACTATCAATTAATGGTAAAAATGTCTTTATTATCGGCGGCCGTACCGACCCTATTTAAGCTGAGCTCATATCGACGGTGAAACTACCAAGCATAGCATCTTAGTTTGCTACGTTTCAGACTTCCTGTCAATTTTCATTTTGTAAAACCGAAAACTACGCAACGTCAATTTTTGACAATTTCTGTGATTTTTCCTCTCAGTCCGAGGAAAACTCAGTCAAAATTTTAAGGAAATTTGATAGTTGTTCTCCACCAAAAAAATAAATTGGGAGTGGAGATTTTTAAACACTGCAAACGGGATACGTGGACTGATAGGTTCACCGTCGATATGTAGCAGTGTAGCGCCACTAGAGTTATGTTGACAATACTATTTCATCAGTTGATTGGTAAAAGCCGCAGTGGCGTAGACAAGGGGGGGTGTCCAGGGGGTCTGCCCCCCCCCCCTTAGCCTCGTTAATTGTACATTTTTTTTTTTTTTTTTTACTTTTAAAGGGTAGACATAAAATGAATCACTAAATACAAAAAGGGCACATGTCCAGAAAACCAAAAAAAAAACCGCCAAAACCGGCGCTCCGCCACTTCGCTCCGCGCCGGTTTTTTTTAAACATAACGACTTTCCAAAAAATATCTACCACGAAATAAACAGTTTTTTGTGTCTCCTGAAGACTTTGGTTTTCTGGACATGTGCCCTTTTTGTACTTAGTGATTCAAATATTATCAGGGACGTACACAAAATAATGTAAATTGACCTCCTACCCCATAAAGAATTCCTAGCTACGCCATTGGAAGGCCCTTTGGTCAGAATTATATGTGTAATAACTCACGAGGGTGTGTTTAAGATAGTCGATACAGCATTCTGAAGCCTGTTGTAGGTCAAATGTTTGTATTCCAATTTCAGGCCGATCCCGGATTGCTGTATGTACTCAACGTTGTGGAACTGATCGAGCATAAACGGGACTCCGATGAGGGGTACCTCGAAGTGGATCGCCTCGATCAAACTGTGCAAACCACCATGGGTCAGGAAAAGAATGCAGTTCGGGTGTTCTGTAACATATCTCAACATATATTTTGGGCTCTCTACTCGTTAAAAGTTCCATAAAACCACTGCTAAAAATCAATGATTTACTCTGAGTGAATAGCCGGCGTGAAAAAAAAATCCAGCGCGAATTTCGCGCCGTACTCTGAGTGAATAGATCAGAGCGTAAATATCACCAACGACCGACGAATTAGTTGAGGTACCCCAAATAGCGTGAATCCAGGGCATCCTGGTACGAGCGTTGAATGGCAAAGTGGTAGCGCATTCGCGCAACACACTAGTCTACTTGATTTTTGACAAAGGGATGCTTCGAGGTAAAGATGACCAGAAATCTGGTAGCATTCCGTAATTTTGACGGATGAGAGTAGGTAGAGTTAAGATCTCCGCTACCATACTGCCGTGCTAGGAAAGAACGCCGTATGAGCATTCGAGGGTTGCCAAAGTTCCTTCGATAAAATGTTTATTTTTGAGGAAGGTTATGAACATTTTTCCTTGAAATTTTCAGGGACTCTCGGCGAAATTACAAACAAAATTATCTGAAAAATTGGAAGGAAAATATTAATGAGTTTACCAGGAAATTCGTGTTGTATCAAAGCAAATTTGGCAACGCTTGAAGGTTCATACGGCGTTTTTCCTTAGCACGGCAGCATAGTCTGTTGGCGCTTACCGTATATTCATTGCACTGTCGCTCAAACCATACTTTTTTCAGTGTACGGAATGACTATGGTTAGGACCCGTGCTCACCTTAGCGTTCATTGATGTGCAACATAAAATCAAAAGTGGTGAAGATTTCAATGAATAAATAACCGTGCCAGACCCGAAACTTACCGAGAATACTTTGCTGAGGCAGCCATTTCTTAATCAATATTTGGGATGAGTTTCCGCATGCCTCAGTATTATCCCATCTCCAGAGAACTCGCTGTTTGAGAGATTTAAATACTGATACGAGTGCCCCCTTATGCTCTTCAGAGATCATATCGGCCTTAATCCAAGTTCCAAAACTCACAAACACCACACCCTCTGATGCAGAATCCATGAAACTTTGCAAGTCCTGATGAAAAATTGAAGCTTGATTATCGAATGGGACAGATAACATAAAATATTACCTAAAGAAGTTGAAGGTAGGTAATGGAAGACGGTGATATGATGTGATTGCCATTGCAAATTAAATTCAGCGTATTCTTCAAGCTGAAATCTTCCACGATCTTATAATAAAAACTCCTATGATAGGAAAAAGAAAAAGATTATCTGAACAATTTTTGACTCGAAAAGATAACTATAGCTGCTTAATGGAGTAACGCCGCTTCGATAACGCTGGTCGACTAAAAAACAATTTTTTTGGAATTTTCCTTCGAATATTATTAACTGTTCCTGCGTATATTTTTAGCACTGAGTCCGAAAATGACTCCGTTTTGCTTGGCCAGGGTCGATTGTCCCCGAAAAAATCGGAATTTTTCCGAAAAATCGAGCTTTTCTGAAGAAAAATCAATTTCCGGAAAATCCGTGCACGTTGGAGAAGAACGAAGATCATTTTCGGATCCAGCAGCCAAAATTACATAGATAATCATGTAATGGATGCCTATTGAAGTTTCCTTTCTGCACTGAAAAAATGGTATGCTGTTTTAGCACCTAGGATGTCAAAAATGCGTCTGGTGATCCTAAGATGCTGCCTTGATTTCCCACGCAGTTAAATTTGCATTCCTAGGATGTAAAGTTAACTGCGGGAGCAGTAAAGGCAGCCTCTTGGGATCACTAGACACATTTTTGACATCCCAGGTGCTAAAACAACATATTATTCTATTCAGTGTGTCAATTCCTAATATCGAGGTTTTTTCGAACGAGTGCTCCTTCCCGCCCATATATAAGCCTCGATAAAATGAAGTGTTCTTAATTGTAGGTACCGTAGACTTGCGACCAGCCGAGATCGTTGGGCGGCCAGCGCGAACTTTCTTAAGATTTTGTATTTTTTACGAGAGGAGAGGGTATAACGCTAGCACTGACACCACCCCCCTTTAGAACTTTACGTAATTTGCTAATTTATGAACGCTGCCTCATCTCTAAAATGATTTTCTTACCGAAGGCAGGGCGGCTGGCGATTTCAGATGAAACCCTCCGATTTCAATGATATTTGGAGCGTAAGGTCTCGGTGGGTGAAAAGAATGGTGAGAGCCAACCAGAACTAAGGAAACGTTGCGAATCATATCCCGCAAAGGTGGCCGTGTCTCAACGCCGGGGTAGTGCAAATATTCCTTCAATATCTTCTCGTGCTTTGGTAGCGTATACCATATGATTCCTAGTTGTGTGTATAGGCCCCATATAGTGTTATGCAGACGTTCCACGAATGACAGATCTGGGGGATGAAATACTTTCGAAATAATAATGCGATTATACAGGGTGATCCAGACCTACCGTACAAGGCCTTTTTCCGGTTAATTCAGGCCGTTGGGGGTGAAAACTGGGAATCGACCCCAAGAAATGCGAATTTCATAGTTCCGAAGCCCCTCCCGGCATATCCCTCGGGGAAGTAATTGAGAGGTTTGTACTTAAAAAAGTGCGATTCATGTCAAAATTTTGAAATAATTTAATCGGAGGCAGACTTCACGATAAATTCTGACTTAGATCGGCACTACGAAATCAAAAATCGGCCCATCCGCATCCGACATACCGACCCCTAAATGTTGGGGACACAACCCCCTTTCAGATAATGCGCAAGTTCACTGAATTGACGTAGAGACTCGGAAAATAAGTGGGTTCATAGGTAATTGACCCCAAGTAATCCGACTATGAAGGCCGTCCCTTATCGTCCTCAGAGGCTTCTCTGGTGGGGTACGGGGGGGGGGGAAGAATTTGTTAATTTCGGGGGGGGGGGCTAAACTTAAAAATTAATTGTTTTATGATTCCTACGATAGTTCACCAGAGAAAACTCCGGGGATGACTGAAGACCTCCTGGATTCCTTGGGGTCGATTACTCATGAAAACACATTTTTTTCCGAGTGTCCACGTTAATTTATCGAACTTGCATTTTTTGAAAGGGAGCTCTGCTGTCTTCATCTTTAAAGATCAGTATTTCGGACACGAATGGGCCGATTTTGGATTTCATGGTGCTGATTTAAATTAAAATTTTCCGTAAAATCTGACTCCGATTAAATAATTTCAAAATCTCGACAAAAATCCCGACCTCTGAACTACGGACCCCTCCTTCCTTGCTTTTACCCCTCAAGGAGATCCGGGGGTGCTCCGACCCCGTGAATTTTAGATTCCTTGGGGTCGATTCCTGAATCGCCCCCGCGGTCCTAGACTTCATGTGACCTACTCGTACATTAACCGCAAGAGGCCTGGTATGGTAGGTCTAGGCCACCCTGGATATTTTAATAATTCGGAAAAAAGATAACTCAAAAATGATGCAATTTTCCCGGGAAAATACCGTTCCTGTCATATTAAGGCACTCATATTGGAAATAATTGGGTATATCTCGAATTACTGATCTTAAACTCATACAATTGGCGTCCCAAATGCTCTCCGGATCTCAAGCGAAGCAATGGACCACTAGACAAGGTACGAATTTCAGCATTCTGATACATGTTTCTTAACCAAAATTTCACGTAAAACACGATGCTTACAACGAAAATTACCGCAATCAACTCCTTACTAAGATATTTGATGATTCTTGATGTGTGAATTCAAACCACCCGCTCATTAAAACTCAATGCTCTACGTGATTCACATCGCACGCTAAACGTTATCATGACAGTCTCTGCGATGTAAAAATCTGGCAACCTCAATCTTGACGCTTTGGCTCAGCTGTAGCAAATAGCTTATAATTTGAACAACACATGGTGGAAAATGAACATTGCTCGATTGAGAGGCTTGCTGAAACCGTTGTAGTGCGCGATTTGACTCGTGTAGAGCTCTGAGTTTCTTGTGAGCGGGCAGTTCAAATTCCTTGTAGCCAATGTGAAATAAAAACGTTAATATCTTTGTTAGGAGTTGGTTTCAGTAATTTTCGTTGTAAGAATCGTGTTTCACGCCAAATTCTGATTAAGAAACATGTATCAGATTGCTTAAATTCGTACCTTGTCTAGTGGTCCATTCATAGATTGCCAAGATAGCTTCACTAGCCATTTTGAACTTTAAACGGCCGACATGTTAAAGCAACGGAGTAGGCTTGAATTTTACGCCACAAATGTTCTTTTTTAAGCCAATTTCAATGGGTGTATCTTGAAATGAGGGTTGCTATTTGAAAAAAAAAAACAGAGTCTGTGCGACTCTCAGGGGTGTATAGTCTGCCGGTTTCTCCACTTAGAAGGGATCAAATGCTTGTTTTCTTCGACCTGGATAAACCCCCAACGTAACGTTTCGGCTCAATAGATCGATCAGCAACGCAGTTACAAGATGATGCAGAACTTTTGGTTCACACTGTGTCGATATCATGATTTGCATTAATTTATCAACGGGAACTCTCGCTCAATGAAGGAAAGCTCATAATGGAAGTTAGAGTCCGTGCTTTCCTCAGGGGTCTATAGTCTGTCGGTTTCTCCACTTAGAAGGGATCAAATTATTGTTTTCTTCGACCTGGATAAACCCCCAACGTTTCGACTCAATGCTCGATTAGCAACGCAGTTACAAGACGGTGCAAAACTTTTGGTTCACCATGTGTTGACATCATAATTTACATTAATTTATTAACGGGAACTTACGCTCAATGAAGGAAAGCTCATAATCCGGTATATAAGAATAAGTGTACGGGTTCCCTTGGAAGCTGGCAGTGTAGAGAGGCAAGTGTTGCGGACACAGTTCGATTAAAGGGGCATTGAATCGATGCCCGAGGGCGAGAAATGATTGCTGGTGCGTGAAGAAGTTTCCCATGATGACGTCGAAACGTTCAGAGGAGGATATGAGCTTCTGAAGAGGTTCAGACGCAAATGCTGCCTGTGTCCAGTCAGCGATTATGCGCCATCTGTCGTAGATACTCCGAAAACGGGACATCTCCGTGAGATCAACAAAACTGTAATCTGTCCAAAATTGGCGAAAATCAGATCTTAAGTGAAAAACAGTCGAGTTCGTAGATCTTTAAAACAGATTTTTTTACACCAAACAAAACAATTGATTATCGATGCGTTCGTAAAAAATAATGTGCAAATCACTTTCAAATCTCGAGGGAGCCTATACTTTTCCTTATTTTTCGTGTTCAGTTTCTGAACTTCGGGCTCTAAAAATTTTAGAGAGACTGGGAAAGAGAAGAGGCTAGAGAGTGTGAGCAATAAAAGGCAAGAGTATTTGTATTTGAAAATTTTGAGTTAGTCTGCACCTTTTGCGGGGGGTGCACCTCCCCCCCCCCCTTACGAGATTTCGGCTGTGCCAAAAAGTAGCTCTCATTGACCTAAAAGCATCCTCGATCGCTTTGCTACCTGCATGCGTTTCAAAGATAGAGGACGGGGGGTTGGGGATTTTTTGCTCACCCTGTGTGAATAACACGTTAATATCTTCAGGAAGGGTGCAGATATTGATTGATGTGCGGTTTGGACAAAACTGCTTCAAATTAATATAGGATTTCTTTGTTTTTTTTTGGGGGGGGGGGTGAAGAGGGCTGTGACCTTCTATCTTTGTGTGTTTTTTCCAATGAGGGGGCTCCCGTTTCGGAAGTGGCCCCCTCGGCGAAAAAATTGCGTATGTTTAATTTAGGAGGTTCCATCTAATAAACCTCATGCCAATGTCTGTAATCGCTCTTGGGGTATCAATTAGTATCCATCCATACTTATCGCACACCCTATTTATTTGTTTTCTTTCTTACTTCTTTTTTTCATGTGTAGCAATGCACGGGTGGAAATACATAATAAGATAAGCGCACATTAAAATTATTACAGTGAATCGTATTGTCCTTGGTATATCTATCGCAGGCAAATAGTAAAATCAGCATTTTGTCAAATGCCTAGGCAAATAGTCAAATATTCTAACTTAATTGGATTGAAATTCTGATTCTTTTCCTAATTTCAGACAAAATAATTTTGAGGAGATACTGATCTTGAAATAATTTTCAGCATGTCGTAAAATACAGAATTTTTGGAATTTCAACGTTTAAAAATATGAGAAGCAATTGAAGAGGAGGAAACAGAAAGAGTTCGTAGGCTTGATGAGTTATTTTCCCAAAAATAAAGAAAAATCGTAAGCTCTTCGCCATAAATTTACAAAATTTTGTAGACCGTCAAAATTTGACTATCTGCCTAGGGATTTGATAAAATGCCTGATTTCACTATTTGCCTGCGACATATCGATGGTGAAAGTGCAGAAGTGCGTATCCCAGAAAACACGATTTTCCAGGAGAGTAAAAAACTGTCTTCATTCCTCCTTATTGTCAGTAGAAGGGTAGTAATTCTTGAAGATAGCAGGAATGAGATGCTTTTTCAGACTCCGTCACCATTTTAAATTTTTTCTCGAACTGTTAGAAAATACGGCAGAAATGTCGAGATTCGCGTATTAAAATAGAGTTTATTCACACTTAAAACTTGTTTACAAGCCTTAGTAGATCCAATACGGTAGGACAAGCGTTTCTCGACTCGATTGACTCTAATAAAACTGACCGTTGTGATGAACTGTCAGTTCATGATTGTATTGGTCCATGAGAGTGAATGATGGACATGAGCGCCGCGCGCCGCCAGTGATAGGTACCTTTGAAAAAATTATACTGAGGGGCTCTCGAGTGATAAGCATTTAGCAACTTTTCAGAACCAGCGAATTCCTGAAAATAAATAAAAACACAGAACAGCTGATCAGCTGATATATATGATGTTGGCGGGAAACGCCGAGGATCGCGCGTTGTGCGTGAGGCGCGCCGGATAAAATGAAGGAGCCAGAACGAGATACGCATTTCTGCACTTAAGCCCGAGATATGCGAAAAAAATTCTTCGGTTTTAGGTGACTTCCCGATTTTTTTCGATTATAATATCTTGCAGGCAGATAGATGACATCTCCATCAACACATTTATGCAGCTAACTCAAAACTGTCAAAAATCGAGATACGCACCTAGCTGCACTTTCACCATCGATATGCATATGAATGAATTATTGGCCTTTCTATGTGTGTGTAGAGGGGGGGGTGACGAATCAACGTACCTTCCGGCAAAACAAACAGCTTCGAATCCAAGAGAATTTCCTGGTAATTGGCCAGATTTTGCTCCATAGGAATTGATGTGATCATGGTAACCTCATGGCCACGAGCCAGGAGTTCCTTTACCAGCACAGAGAGCGCCATGGTCTGACTTTTGAACGGCATCGGCAATGAGACAAGAATCCTAGCGCCCTCCAAAGGAAGATGATACAACGAGATGATAAAGGCCGTTAATAGAATGGTTCCTTGAAAGTGCATTCTGATTGTATTGCAGAGGGTCAAGGGTCTATAATTCTAGTTTACCAGTAGGTAAGGCAAGTTCAAATCTGAAAATGGGAAGAGAATAAAAAATCACAAGAAAAAATGATCTGATCTGCGTTATTAGGATCTGCGAAATTGTCGGTCATGTATGTCAGGAAAAGTTACAGCCGATGGATGGAAAACGACAATATCTCAAAATTTTAAGTGTTACCTAAAAGGAAGAAATAGCACATACTTACTGGAAATAGCGATCGGAATACGACAAGGTGGTTGTGAAAAAAAACAAGGTTGCAGGTATTTCACTTTTTTACTTGGCACAATGTAACGAAAAAAGAAGTAAAAATATAAACTCAATCGATTTCAACCGAAATATTTCATCATTTTAGCCCATAGCACGCATACAAAAACAAAGGGGTGTTACCTTATTCTTTCCTGAACAGAAAAGATACAGCTTCGAGCCAGAAAACTGTTTATATTCTGAAGTAATATCATTCTATCGATGTACACATTGTAAGCTTAACGACAACAACTATAGGCCCCAGCGAGCGCTTTCGCGTCGGCGTGAGATAATCGCCCCCCCCCTCCTCCTCCTCCTCCATCGTTCATCACTACCGCAAGCATGTAAAGTCGCGAATAAAATAGAGAGCTCGAAAACCCATATCACTCAACTCCAGCTTATGCGACTTATTATCAAGCCTCCAAGCTTTGAAGTGTGATTATTGACCGAAAATATCCCAGATTTGAATCGTATCAGAGCGGACTCTCGCGCTGAACCCTCGAGATCTGAGATTCCCTCCTGCTGAGCACTCCCCACACGCTTGTCGCTAACATCGAAGTATTCGTAAAAAAAAAAAAAAAAAAAAAAAAAAAAAAAAAAAAAAAAAAAAAAAAAAAAAAAAAAAAAAANAAAAAAAAAAAAAAAAAAAAAAAGGGTCGTAATAATGCTTCGCCAATAATAATTATAATTTTAATAGGGAATTTATCACTGCATCACTCGAATTTACTGGAATGTACCGGGACAATTGATCGGAATTGCTTCGATCGACATAATTCTATCGAAAAATAAAATCGAACTTGTCTTGGCTGTCTTTCTATTACTCCCCGATAAAATCGCTGTCCATCGGTTCACTCTCATCTGTTGCGATCGATTCCTCTCCGTATATCCCCCCCCCCTTTAAATTAACTTTCCTTTTTTTATTCCTTTCTGCTCTTTCCTTCACTCTCCCTTCTCCTTCCTCTTCATCTTTTCTTTTGCTTTTTCACCTTTTCTCTTCAATTTTGTCTTTTTATCTCCATCATTTTCTTTCCTTCATTGTAACTGTTTTCTTTTCATCTTCTTTTCCTCGGACGGGAAATAAAGATAAAAAGAAAAAAAACAGTTTCATGGGATACGTCCCCAAGGGAGCATTTACTTTATACTGACCGTTTATTTGTTAACTGTAAATGTGTTTGAATCCAAATTCGAACTAAACTTTCATACGACTTACAAGCATGCTATAGAAAATGTGAAAAAATTAACGCAATTGCATAGTTCATATTCTTTTGTTTTATTCCGTAACACTTGTTTATTTTTAATCCTCGTATAAAAACCACCCATTTGCTAAATACAATTCTAGCTAGAGCGCACTTCAGCTTTGCATTCACGACTGCAAAAGTTTGAAAGGAAATCGAAAAGGCCAGCGCGTATGAAGGCTATTTCAATTGTAATCTTCCGTCGCATTTCTAAGGCGCAATGATACAACTATTCGAACTCTCCGGAATGCGTGAGGTATCACGCCGCATTTGAAGGCGTTTTCAAAACAGCCTACTTCCGATACCCGGATTATCGTTTTGCGATTCCAACAAAAGTTAACGTGTCTATAGCAACGGAGCCCGGCGCGTCTGACTATTAAATGGGGGATAGGACATAACTATTCGACCACGTGGGAGCCTGTGTTGCCTAATTTACAAATTGAAGGCAAACTGAGATGACGTTCAAGTAACCTTTTCTGTTTCTCGAGTGAGAGTATCATTTATAAAACAGCGCACAATATTGTGCCTTTACTTTCTCGGATAGTTTTGAGATGAAAATCGACAAAACATACCGCTTTTTGGGTTAAAAGAGAGTTTAGCGAGGCGTGACATTATAATTTTGACGGAATTCATGAGCAAATTTGCCTACATTCGTAAGAGCATAATTAATCGCTTCGTACACACACTGTGGTCATTTTGAATCAGGGATGTTGAAGCGAAAATTTCCGGCTATCATAAAAGAATGTTTTCCAAAATTGCGATGAATTCTTGTCAGTTGAAACCTATGATTAACAAAAATTTCATATTAGAAAAATAAAAGGGATTTAATAGGTTACTCCACTTACGTTGAATTTAAAATTTAATTTTTTTGAAAATCAGCCTGGACAAATACTTAGAGATCGGCTTACATTATTATAAAATCAGTATTTTTCGGCATTATTCTCTTGCATATTCTCGAGCCACTCCTTATGTTTTTATCAAGTTGATAAAGTTTCTTCAGTAATACTTTTACGCAAGACCACACGAAAAACTGTACAAAACATAAAACGACGATAAAACTACAGGAACGTGGATCTCGGTTTGAGATTATCTTTGGTTGTAGACTTCCTGTCACACATTATTTGTTAGATAAAAAAATATAAACAAAGCCTCATTTTTTGAAAACTGCCCTGATTTGACTTCTGCGTGTAAAATAAAAGTATGTAAATTTCAAGCCAACCCGTCGGTTCGTCCTCTTTTGATACACTCTTTGATTGAAAGGTAGTGGAGCTTTTGAAATATCGCCAACGAGATACAACGGTGTAAGTCGGCAATCACATTACTCAATTTGCGACGTCACAGACTTCCTGTCATACTTTATTCTTTGAACGGATCACTACTCAACGGCAATTCTTCAAAACTGCCGTGATATTTCTTCTCTGTGCGATGAAAATTCTGCAAAAACTTCAAGGAATGATGTCAGTTTATTCTTCTTTAAAAAAAAGAACATAGCAGCGGAGTTTCGTAGACACCACAAACGAGTTATGTGATTGCCGACTCACACCATGGATTTACGTTCTTGCAGTTTCACCATCGACAGGCAGGACGCGATGTAAATCAAGTAACGTTCACATGATTGTATGTACGATTATATTCTCCTTCCAATTACATGCCTTGTAAGTGCCCTTGTAGCAACGGTACGTGAAAAACTCGTAAAAAAATGTAAAGAACTTGAATTTCATTAACACATAAAAAACTCGTAAAAAAGTTGTAAAAGAAAGAAGTTTTTTTACAAGTTTTCGTTTTTATGTAATGTAAGAAACTCGTAAAAAACTTGTAAATAACTCATAAAATTTACTTTTTATTTACAGGCCAGCTTTCAAAATTTTGACTCGTAAAAAACTCGTAAAAAACTTGTAAGTAACTCATAAAATTTACTTTTTATTTACAAGTCAGTTTTCAAAATTTTGACTCGTAAAAAACTCGTAAAATACCTGTAAATAACTCATAAAATTTACTTTTTATTTACAAGTCAGTTTTCAAAATTTTGGCTTGTAAAAAACTTATAAAATACTCATAAACAACTAGTAAAATTTACGTTTCATTGAAGAGTCAATTTTTTAAACATCGACTTGAAAGAAATTCGTGAAACACTCATAAAATACTCATACAATTTAACTTTCGTTTACAAGGCAACATCTGAAATTTCGACGTGTAAAAAATTTGTCATACATTCATAAAGAACTCTTAAAATTCATTTTCATTTACGAGTCAATATCTGAATCGTAAAAAACTCTTGCTGAACAGAAAAGAAATTGAAAAATTCACCTTATTCTCTTTAGGGGTGAATTTCCCAAATTTTGACTCATAGGAAATTTGTAACTAACTCAAGAAAATAAACTGGTAAAATTTATTAGCGAAAGAGTGTATTATATGCATGTGTAACAATTGATGTATTGAACAAAAGAATTTCCAAAATTTTGGCTTCAAAAGCGCGTACACAAAACAACCACACATGAAACAGGCAAGATACTTCAGGGGGCAGAATTATATTTGGTGAGAGTTAGGTTACTCACCGGGATGAAAGGTTTCATTTGTCAATGCGCAATTTTATTATTGTAGATGTTACGGGTGCATTATGACAGCAATAAAAGTTCACTTGAATCTGATTTCCTATTCACTTTTCACAACCAGAATTCGGTGAATATTTAATAGCCAGTCATATTGGAAAGGATTTTGGGTATGGTGAAAAATATTTTGCCAGTGTATATAGTTACCACACTGGAAAGCCATTGAAACTACAGTGGATTAACATCCATTTCTAATCGTACCGTTTCAAAATTTGGTGAAAAAGAAAAAAAATGTACTAACTTTAAAGATTCTCATGAACACAATGCACATGTGCAGCTGTGTCTGCAACCTGATTCAGAAAATTTGACATCAATATCATCGATAGGTTATATCGATGATTTCCCTGCCTTTGTCGATGTTGAAATAAACATTCACCATTGTTGGTTTGACCAATTTAGAACACATTAACGGACAAGTTATCTTCACTTCTACATGGACTAGACGAATCAGGATGATTACTGCTAGAAATAAGCTGTGAAGAGATTGCACTTTTTCCATTTTCAGTTTCCAAGTTATGTCAGGTTGGAGGTTTATAGCTATATATACATTAATTAATAAAATCTTCAAGCTTCAAGCTTAAATCTTCAAGCTTTATTTCACAAGTTTCCATGTTTAAAATTGAAACGAAAACAAATTTTCTTTTGTAAGCTCCTATGTAAAGAAACTTCTATTTTACAAGTAGATTTGTATTCAAAACCTTGTGAAGTGAAGATGCGCAAAGCCCGTATCATACAATCAGAGCTCTCAAAGTGGCACGTGGGATCATGTGACACTCAGATCGACATCCCTCAATGATAATTTTGTCAGGCATATGATCTGCGGGGGTCACGTGACGCCATTTGAGAGGTCTACTTTGATTGTCTGATACGGGCTCAACACATAAAGAACTCGTAAAAAACTCGCCAAAAAATATCGTTGACGAATTTGGAATCATTTCTCGAGTTTTTTACGTAAAAAACTTTTGGATAAGTAACACGTAAAAAATAATTTTCAGTGGCAGCGAGCACTATTATCTAACATGAGTTTCTCACTTATTTTTCATAAGCTTTTTACGTAAAAAACTCGTGAAATGATTCCCAATTCGTCAACTGGGAACTTTTTTTTACGAGTTCTTTACGAGTTCTGTATATATTGCGCATCTTCATTTCACAATGTTTTCAATTTTTTTTTACAAGTTTTTCACGATCCGTTGCTACAAGGGTGGTGCTGAGGCAAACACTCATGCGTGAATTTTAATGATTGCAAAAGTTTATTGAGGGTTATGTTGCTTCGAAACGATCGGAAAGAGAAAGAAGAAAAGATCGAGACTGGAATTTCAATTTTGTATCCAAATCAGGTCATTTATTGTATTAATTTTAAACAGTCCTTCAATTAATTTTTGCACACATTTAAAAGCAACTTACACCGAAAAAAATTTCGATCTTTGTAATTACTGGGAAAAAAAATAAAGACGATTCTTTTAAGTTCCTAAGTTAAGTTAAAGCCAACAATTACACACACACACACACACACACACACACACACCCTCTCACACCTATACTTAAGCTTATACTTAAGCTAATTAACCAATTAAATCCCACTCAATGTCCTCTATTATGTGATTGTTTTCGATCTTTATACATTTAAGTGCGTCAGCCATATTAGACGTCAACTCTTTTTGGGTCGTTACAACTCCATACATCTGTAAAAGATTTATCCTGCGCTCATCCGATAATAAGCTGCTTCCAATTCGTTTTCTTAGCAAAATTTGATGAGTACGGAAAGAAATCGATGATTGTAGATTATCTCCTGCAAAATACAAACGTGCAGTGATTATCGCTTTCCAAACACTAGCCTTCAAGATATGTCCAGATGGTATCACACTGCCAAACTCATGGAAATTTAATAGTTTGGGATATTTGAACTGAACGTACCCATTATTAAAATAATAACGATAATCTACTTCCTTACTTAGTCCCATTTTGGCTGGCAGTGAGTAATGGGGAAACATGAAACCCAAGCGAGAGACAGTTATAGAGTCCGAATCGGTACCAGTTTTTTTTACCTCATATTTATTCTTTAGTTCTCCTATCCTAATTTTTTCTCTCTCGCTTGTGGAATTGTTCGAAAATTCATGAGTGAGAATCATTCGCATCTCCTTATGAAACAGTGCGGGTGAGATGTTCTTTTCTGAAGCCAATAAAACTAGCAATTCCAAAATTCTCGATGGTTTAAAGTTCTGATACTCTGCCAATAGTTCATAATCTCCAGCACAATCGAAATCGTCCAACCCTGGTGCTAGGCCTTGGAATCCTTTCAAAAAGGAGTCGTACTGGTCCCAAAATGTTACTCGATCGGAAATTCTGGACTCACCCATAATGATCGATTGATTGCGATGTCTTTGAAAGTTGAATGTGAGTCTTCTAAAAAGATTAGCCGAAAGGGTCGTCCACGGCACCCGGACCGTAGGCAATCGTGACCGGTCACGAGTAGCGCGATGGAAGCTAATTAAAGAGAGGGACGGACATTTACTTTATTGAAATTTTGATGAATTCATCCGCGGCACTCGGACCGCAGGCAATCGTGTCCGGACACGAGTAACGCAAATGAATTTTTAGACCGAAAAGAACTGTATATTGGCAGAGGGCCGGAATTTGACATGAAGTTATTATTAGTAGAAACTAGGGGGCTACGCCCCCTGGCCGCTACGCGGCCCAACCCCCTGAAGGCGCTCCGCGCCATCAATGGGCCGCTTCGCGGCCCTATTTTTACCCTCCTATCAGTGTTAGTTTTATTTTTCCCCTAAAAATTACGATATGAGGTATACTTTAATTTTAAACTTTACTTAAAATTACTTTAAAATTAAAAGGACGCGTTTTGGAATGACTGATTGACGAAATATTGCAGTAAAACAATGAACAATGATAGTCAGGTAATGATTAAGCTATCATGAGTCGAGGATCGATCCCACATTGAGTTCATAGTGGACGTACTCGACGTCTTAGACGACTCGGCCACCGTTCTACGTGAGGACCATGGCGCGAATCTTGTGGAGATAAGTGTAGAGCTGATGCGCAGGCTACACAGCTACTGCACAGAGACAAGAGACCCTCCACTAGTATCTTGGCCATTGTGGAAGCTTTTACTTTCGGGACTTCAGCATTCTACTGTTGACTTACCTACATGGTTGATGTTTAACAACGTGTTGGCAGTTTCGTTTTGCAAACAAGTCGAAAATGGCCGAAGTTTGCGAGACTTGTTTGGCTCATGACGTCACCCGAAGCTCATCATCGACCATGTAGGTAGGTCAACAGCCGGAATTGAGGTGATGACTGTTGCTCCCTAATAATTGTCCATAAGGAACTGTTGAATCCCCGAAAGTAAAATCTTCCACCTGTCGTTAGGAGGCCAGTGGAGGGTCTCTTGTCTCTGCTACTGCGCAACCTCCTCGACCACTGCGCATCCTCCCGCGCATAGCGGAAGCAGCACCGGAGCATTCTGTAAACTCACTCACTTTTATAACGTGATTTTAAAAAAGCTTGGGTCCTTTTTCCAAAATCTGATTAGAGCGGGCTCATCTAGGGCCTATTACCTGTCGATTTACG